AACCCCAAACTTGTCTTACTAAATTTGTTTTATAAGATGTAATGAGTATAGCAATTCTGAAATTTTTGAGTTTCTTTTGGGTTTAGGCAAATTCAGACACCTATTGGTGTTAGCAGGCAGTGTTCTCACTGTTGAAGTAAAGAAATCGAGACATGAAATAGAGGAAGGCAAGTAAAAACCCTGTGCACTTGGTGTGGACTTGGAGATTACAGTATAAACGCAACAATTTCCAACACACAGGAGCTAAAATTCATGTGACTCAAGTAGATACGTAGAACAACCCAGATTTTGGTTTGTAAGTACCGTTCTTCATTATAAGGAACCAGGGGTTCCAGAACTAGTGAGAGCAAGGTAACAGACAAGCCTAGAATATCTTGTTCTAAAATTAAGAAATGCTCAAAAAATAGAAGTATATTTAAAAAAGAAAAGAAGAGAGATCACTTTGAATGGGCTCCCAAAAGCCTAATCTAAGACAATATGAAAATCAAAATAAAAACTATAGAAGATTAGAGCCCATCAACTAAGAGTCCATGAATCCATACTGATCACTGATTATTACTGATAGTATATGGATAAGTGAAAAAGGAAAGCTCTTATACTATGTTTTAGAATTCTGACTAATAAGGAACAATGGAGTTAAAGAAACATCAACTATTTTGCAACCATTGTAGCAAAAATGGATACTAAATATAAAGAGTAAAGTTTGATGAGGAGCGAGACATTTACATAGTCTCAAGGTATCTCCCCACTAATTACCTATTAATTACAAAAGGAAACATACTAGCTATACAGTAGAGGAAGTGCTCAAGCCTTTAATGGGGGTGGGGGAAGGAGGATTGAGATTAACATCAATAACAGGAAAACAGACATGGTGTGCTTCTGGATGTATGCCTGTACCGCCTAGCTAGCAATCCAGCCAAACGTGCGGGCATCAGAGTGACCCCATTTGAGAGGAAGTCTATGAAATAACTGTCCTGCATTCAACCATGTCAGCATGAAAGAGGTGAGGGGAGGCTGAGGAAGTATTCTGGATTACAGGAGGCTAAAGAAATAGGACAATACATGATTCTGGGTTAGATCCTGTATCAGGAAATTGCTACATGGGACATCATTGGGACAGTTGACAAAGTTGGAATATAATTTTACATAAAATATCAATGTTAAATTCCCCAAATTTGATAACTGTAACATATACGTATAAGTTGATTCTTTTTAGGAATTACTTGGAAATGTTATGGGATAGAGAGACATGTTAACCGCTTTCAGATCATTCAGAAAGTGTGTATTTGGAAGCAGGGGAAAGAAAGAATGAATAGGTAAATGTGTCAAAATGTTAAAAATTGGTGAATCTGGGCAAAGGGCATACAAGTTTTCTTTAAATTATTCCTGCAGTTTTTCTGTAAATTTAAAACTATTTTAAAATAAGTTAAATAGAAGAATGTTCATAGGGAAGGCAGTAGAGTCGTGTGCTCACCGCTGTGTAGGGGTGCCGAGGCTGCATGAAGGCCAGGGTCCCATCTCTTCTGGAACAAAGAATTGAAAGGGAAGGAACTGCGTGAACCAGAATCCCACCTCATTACCTTCATTCTTCTCCACATTTCCCCAAGACCAGCAGAAAATGAACAGATCCCAGGTTTTAGTGTCATTCAAGGGTGTGACTGTGGGCTTTAATCCAGGAGGAGTGGCAGCACCTGGACCCTGACCAGAGGGCCCTGTATAGGATGTGATGCTGGAGAACTACAGCCACCTCGTCTCAGTGGGTTGTTGCTTTGCCAAGCCAGAGGTGGTTTTCAAGTTGGAGCAAGGACAGGAGCCATGGATAGTAGAGGAAGAGTCCCCACACCAGAGCCACCCAGAATTCTGGAATGCTGATGACCTGATGGAGAAGAGCTGGGAAAACCAAGACCAGCATTTGTGGAAAGTTAATGTTGTCAATAATAAAAAACAGACTAAGGAGAAAAAAAAAAAGAACGTTCATAGAAGCTTTATTTAATTATACCCCAAACTGGAAACAACCCACATATTCATCAGCAGAAGATAAAAATTTTATCATCAAATGAATTATAGTATATACACATAATAAGATGCTGCTGCACACATTGGATGAATCTCACAGGCGTAACATTGAACCAAAGAACCCAGCACAAGAGTGTATACAATTTCATTCATGTGCAGATTTGTGAATTTTGCTATACATGTGTAATGCCTCAATATATTTTTAAGTTTATTAAAAGAGCTTTATACGGTATATCCGTATGACAAAAACATTTGTACCCCCTTATTATTTTGAAATTTTAAAGAAAAAATGTACCCTTACTATATTAGCAGTGGGAAAATCATTTTAATAATCAGAGATGAGGAAGGAAAGAGTTCCTGTCTGATTTATCAGGTTTCTCCACAGGGTGCTCTTTGTACTTACTGGATTGATTGAAGCGATTTGGCAGGGAGTTACATTGGAAGAAGAGGAGTTGTCTTGGGCCACACAGTAAATACAGAAACACTGATGAAAGCTGATTAGCAAAGATGAGGGCCATGCACTTTTCTTCATATCCGACACCATAGACAAGCAAAAGAAGGTCCTCACAAAATCACCATGTGGCCCCATGGGCAACAGTTCGGACACTGCTTAGAGCAAATTACTGCATGTCACCCCATAAGGTTACTGCGGAACGTGTACGCCGAATATCATGTTGGGGTGTGGAACTATATTGCCCTATGCTATGGCTGTTGCAAGGATTAATTCTCTGCCCTGTACCCCCCACCTCGTCTGAGGTATAGGAACAGGGAGTCTGCAGTTCTAAAACAGACACTCCAGTAAGCGGAATTGGTGTGTATGTATGTTTTGTAGGGGGAGGAAAGGAAGAGGAGATAGCAGATTTATTCAAGTTGCTCTCTGGTGCATTTGCAGGAAGAGGTTTAGGGGTCAATATTTGCCCCCCTCCCCCTTTAAGGGCAAGAAACAGCCAGGCGTGGTGGTTCACACCACTTTGGGAGGCCAAGGTGAGAGGAGTTTGAGAGCAGCCTAGGTAATATAGCAAGATCCCACCGCTACAAAAAAAGAAAACAAAAGTTGAGACCGTAGCTGGGTGCTGGAAAACAAGGTGGCAAGTGGTAATCCAAGCTGCAACAGCTAGAAGAAAAAGAATGTTTATGGTGGCACCTGTGGCTCAAGGAGCAGGGTGCCAGCCCCATATACCGAAAGTGGTGGGTTCAAATCCAGCCCCAGCCAAAAACTGCAAAAAAAAACCACAAAGAATGTTTATGATTGCATAAGTAATTTAACAGCATTGGACTACTTTGGAGTACAAATTTCTACTGGCATTGGGGGAGGCTTTATTAGGAATGTTTCTGAGGCAGAACAAAGTGCAGGCAGTCCCCAGCTGATGTTGCCTGTGCACTTATGGACAGAGGCTATCACAGGTAATAGGTAAATGTACCTGTTCTAACTTACATACAGATTCAACTTAAGAGCAAACCTACAGAATCCGTTTCATTCATTGCCTGGGGGCTCCCTATCGTTTACACTAAAGATGACATTTGAAAGGCAGAAGGAGAAATTATGCTTTTGATGGTTTGGCTTGGGCCGAAAAGAAAATACATTTATTGTATACTCAAAAGATTTATTTCTAAAGGATCCTATAGGGAAATTAACAAATTTTATCGCTACAGGATTATGTAGGAATTTAAGATACAGCGTGTGAGAAATTGTAATACTTTCAAATGCCAATTTTTACTAAAAAACAATTTTCAGTTAACAAGTGGTAATCCAAGTGTTCAGAGCATATTTTTTGCCTAGAAATGATGTAAATTATGAATATGTAAATCCCTCAAAAGTCTACCAAATTACTAATACCACTAAATATTGTTTCTTTGGGAAAATATATTCTGAGTCCTAACTACCAATAACAATAATAGGTTTTAAATCTCCTTCTCTCTTCTCCCGTACAATTTTTACAAAAATGGGTTTTCTCTCCCTGGTTGGGGCCACAGGAGAGCAGTTAGGTATTGCAGGGGGTTTTATTAGAAGGACCCATCCATTGACCTAGTGGGGAAAGGCAGGTGCTGGCCCTGGTTAGATCACCCTGTTAGTCACCCTGTAAGTGACTGCTAGCCAGCCTTGTGGCTGTGCCTCAGGAGGTTTTTGGAGGTCAGTAACCATGTCAGTTATTAACTCCTTAGATTCCTAACACGTAGAGCTTTTAGGAGTGACAGGAATTCTTTGCTTCTCAACAGGTGCCTACCTCTTGGGGTTTTGTGCCTTGAATTTTCAATTAGCAAAACCTGGATTTTATGGCACATTCCCCCCCACCCCTGCCTATCAGCTGACGTTAAGAATTACAGAAAAGTGGATACCTTCATTCAGATTCTTAGAAAAAAGATGTTCATAAAGTCTGACTGCTAGCACAGGATATGACATAAGCTCTGTTTCACAAAACACTGTATTTTGTGTAATTAACTATCTTCCCCGGCATTTGGACTTGATGCTGCTCACTGTATTTCCTCCCCTATATTTACTACACTTCTTTTTGTGTGTTAAACAGTTAAAGTGTGTCAGTTTAAAACGTGTGGTGAATAATTCATATCGTTCAATAAATATTAACTCTTAATGTAAAATCTTATCAGCCGGGCCGTGAAGGGGACTTGTCATTGATGATATATATTAATTGTACTTTGGTTTTTAGTGGATGAAAAATTAAGAATGAGGGAACCTCCACAGTTTCGACTTACAAGAATGTATTTTGCGGACTCCCCTCAGGCAGTTTGTCAGCGCTGCGGGTCTCAGCCACTTGTCGTCTAAAGAGTCTGTCTTTGTTCCTGAGCATAAAATACCTTTTCATTTGAATGGCGCTTCTGAGGTTGGCAGCAGCGGGGCAGGGATCAGATAATTTGTTGTCACTTACAGATTGCGTTTTAACCTGGTTGTGATGTAATTGTAGATTTTTATCATGCTCATTTTTGTCTTTCTCTCTTTTTTTTCTCTTTTATTTCCATTTTTCCAGTACTCCCTCCAGTGCTGGTTCCGAGACACAGTGAATACAACCCTCAGCACAGCCTCTTAGCTCAGTTCCGTAACTTAGGACAAAATGAGCCTCACATGCCACTCAACGCCACTTTTCCAGATTCTTTCCAGCAGCCCAACAGCCACCCGTTTCCTCCTTCTCCCGGCAGCAGCTACCCAAACTCTCCCGGGAGCAGCAGCAGCACCTACCCTCACTCTCCCACCAGCTCAGACCCCGGAAGCCCTTTCCAGATGCCAGGTAGGTGGGCACAGTCAGTGATGTCCTGTGATCACGGTGTCACAGAGCAGCCCGGTCAACCTGGGATGGAGGGAGCTTCTCAGCTCTGCTGTCTGGCACAGGGCTGTCGGCCTCGTAGGACACCACTTTTGCTGAAAGGGAACCTTGTAGCCAAGTAAGCAGATGTCTTATTTAATTTGTCAGGTACAGATGCTTCAAGAAGCTATATTTCTTCCTTGTTTTTAAAAGGTTTTCAAACAGCTGCATCCTTCTGGGAGTGGCATAATAGTTACAGTCTTTGCTCTTGATAAAAGAAGGAGAAAAACAGTGTATCATACACATTTGCTGTTACGAAAAACTCAGCCTCAACATCATTTCATCCATGGAAAAACCCCTGTTGGAAGTGCAGCCTCAGAAAAGATATTTCCTAAAGGATCACATGCCTCCCTCACTTAATTAAATTCATCTAAACAGTGATGTAATCCTAAGAAACACACACTTTAGCAACAAAGGAATTGCAACAGAAGTACTAGAAACCATCTGCTTATTCAGCATAGCAAAGACAAAAAAGGATTAATCTCCTTTTTTATAGACATAAGTAATGGTGTAATTGTTATCAAAATAAATGATTTGGCTCGGTGCCTATAGCCCAACCGGCTAAGGCGCCAGCCATGTACACCTAAGGTGGCGGGTTCGAATCCCCAGCCCGGACCCGCCAAACAATAATGACGGCTGCAACCAAAAAATAGCCGGGCGTTGTGGCAGGCGCCTGTGGTCCCAGCTACTTGGGAGGCGGAGGCAGGAGACTCGCTTGAGCCCAGGAGTTGGAGGTTGCTGTGAGCTGTAATGCCACGGCACTCTACCCAGGGGGACAGCTTGAGGCTCTGTCTCAAAAAATAAATAAATAAATAAATAAATAATGATTAATTTGGACTGATTTTTCAAGTTACTGGTTAGTAAGCACCTCAGAAAAATAAAACAAATGCCAAATTGCCACTAGACCTCAAGAAGCATGCCCTAACTAAAAATATACTTGACGTGTGTTAACATTTAAGAAGGGAGAGTGCCTGGGCAGACACGTTCATTGGGCCACGTGAAATGTTGTGGACTTGTATTGAAAATTGTAGTTCAGGCCAGGAATGAACAAGAAGTCTTCACTTTGTCCACACCTGAAAAGTGGTCCATACTTTATATTGCTTCCTTTTATTTATGTATTTATTGTGTCCTTTTATTTTAAGCCTGCTTATTTTGCATTGTTTTGTTTTTCAGTCCAAGCAATTGGGATAAGAGTGGGAGATAGATTAGTTTAAAAATCAAACTAATATACAGTGATGTCCTACCCACCCCACCCCCTTCCAAACCCATTGAGTTTGATGGACAGGTTGATAGTGAGGAGATTAGTATCACCCCAAGAGTAAATTGAAGGTTATTGTTTGAATTTACCCTTTGTCCCCTAGCTGTCAGGGATTAAGGTCTAAGCCAGGTAGAGGAAATATGGAAGAAAACCAGGGACGGGCATGGGTACTTGTGGGAATAGTAGAATACCACCAATAATTATATGCTCCCTCCTGGTGGTGCTGATGCCAGAGGTTGCTGGTGAAATTTTCACCAGCTTGTTGACAGGCATTCATTGATTCAGGCTCAGAGGAGGCTTTTAGTCTTCAAAAGACTTGGCTTGAGATAAGGCAGAGATACCCTTACAGCTGCCGGGAAGAAGCTGAATTAAAAGAAGCTGGAGAAGGAGTGAAAAAAGCATCCAGAAAAGGTCCCTGTAGTCCAGCCTGGCTGCTTTGAGCCATTGCTTGTTAGCAGCTGGATGGTGGAAGTCACTAGGTTGTGACTGAGCAGGAGCGTCAGTCTTGGAAACCACTGGGAATCTCAGGGGGAGCAGTATTAGTTATTTTTATTGCCCTGAGTGGTCCAGAGTACTTATCCAAGTATTCTTGATCCCCTCAAGTAAAATTTTGTCCCCAAGGCCCTGTCATAGGTGCTCTGACTCACAATAGCCAGTGAGGAATCTGGATTAAAAGGATTGTGAGTGGGAAAGCTATACCCTTTCTTTATATTAAGAAAACATAAAACTTGGCTCAGCGCCTGTAGCTCAAGTAGCTAAGGTGCCAGCCACATACACTAGAGCTGGCAGGTTCAAACCCAGCCCGGGCCCACTAAACAGCAATGACAACTATAACCAAAAACTAGCCAGGCACTGTGGCGGGAACCTGTAGTCCCAGCTACTTGGGAGGCTGAGGCAAGAGAATCGCTTAAGCCCAGGAGTTGGAGGTTGTTATGAGCTGTGACGCCACGGCACTCTACCTATGGGGACAGCTTGAGGCTGTATCTCAAAAAAAAACCATAAAATTTGTGTTAATTGTTTGCCAGCTGGTTACGTGCTCTTCAGAAGAAATGCTGTATGTAAATTCTGAAATAGAAGATAGCGATGATAATTCACTTTCTATTATTCTGTTACTAAGGACTTAAAAACTAGTGATTATTTAAATGGGTAGGGAAAAGAGAATCCTTACAGATGGCCTAAAATCATAGAAAAAGAACAGTTTAAACAGTAGGCTGTAATGAAACTCAGCTGGTAAATTCCTGAAAGCACGTAGGTTTAATGTAAGAGGCCTCAGAGCTCCTTTTCCTAAGAAGTCCAATGAAGCTTTCAGAGGTTTCCATCTACCAGAGAAGCTGTGAAATGCAGAGGTCCTCTCAAGCTGACCGCATAAAAGTGTATATAAATGCTCCTCCAGTTCCTTTTAAATGGCATGATCCTGGACAGGCGGGCAACTTCTGCAACTAGCAGATGGTACTCTTCTTCCCACTGAATTTTCACTAAAATATATAAGATTGTGAGACGGCAATACTTTTAAGAAAACTGTGCATCAAGTCCAATAATTGCAATATCCATTCTCTTGATGAGATTGAAATGACAACTTGATCTCTTAAGAGTTTCAGCACAAAAGAGAATATATGTTTTACGCATGAATGTTTATTCAGGTTTAAGAAATCATTTTTTTTTAACTTTGTAGCTGATACGCCCCCACCTGCTTACCTGCCACCTGAAGACCCCATGACCCAGGATGGCTCTCAGCCAATGGACACAAACATGATGGTGCCTCCACTGCCCTCAGAAATCAGCAGAGGAGGTAAAGTAAATTGCTGCTTATTTTTATAGTCTAAAAGTTATCTGTCCAAATGTTACTTTTTCTCACAAATTTGTATTAGACTCAAGAAGAGAGCCACTTGAGGCTGGGTGTGATGGCTTGAGACGGACCTGAGCAAGAACAAGACTCTGTCTCTACAAAAAAAATAGGAAAATTAGCCAGGTGTTGTGGCAGAGGCCTGTAGTCCCAGGTACTCAGGAGGCAGAGGCTGGAGGATCACTTGAGCCCAGGGTATGAGGTTGTAGTGAGCTATGATGATGGACGCCATTGCACTCTAGCGTGGGTAACAGCAAGACCCTGTCTTTAAAAAAGAAAAGCTATTTAAGAAAGCTACAGCCATGTGATAAGAGAAGCTCAGGAAAAAGAATCCTTTGGATAACAAGTAAGTCTTTCATTTAAAGAACAAGTACATTGATTTAATTGAAGAAGGCCTGTGTTTTCACCTCTTTAGATCATCAGTACTGAATGATTTTTAATTGGTGATAAAGAGAATATTTTTAAATGGAAACAATGAGAAAAAATGAACATGGTAATACCAAAGTAAGGGTTTTCACAGGTGATTTCCAGAATTGGAAGTTCCTATAACTGGGCTATGGAAAAAGTTTCTTTTGTAGCCTCATAAACCTCATATATTTTCTCGCCACAATCTGTATATAGCTGTGACTGGAACCAACTAATTGTATTTCTTTCTTGCTGTGTTTGTTCCTAACTTTGTTACTAAAAGAAATTGAGGCGGAAGTTTTTCTTCTTCTCACACTGAAGCACTTCTAAGCAGAACTGAACATTTCTCTTGCTCTCTAATAAAGGGTGGGTCATTCTTTCCAGCTGGGTATCAGCCTTGTCAGTGATGTGAGTAGAGCATGCCATCATTCTTCCAGGTCTACCTGCCAAGTTGAGTAGGCTTAAGGGCAGACAGCTGAGCTAAGTAAGTTTGTTAGAATCCCTGAGCATCTGTAAGAAGCTTGGCCACACTGGTGAATAAAACTGTTCCCAGACAGCCTTTCATGGAGGGAAGTGCTTCACCAGTGCACGGAACACATGGATTGTTCAATTGATAGAAAGTTTATGCAAATTGAAGTTAAAAGTACAGTTTGTTTGCTGGGTATGTCTTATTTCATTCTTTGTGCTTTTTTTATTAAAATGGGAGATACCTCAACATTTGTTGGGGTTGCTTATTTCTTTAAGTACTTAAAATGTGATGTGTGGTGACAGTATAATGTCAATTTATACTTGTCTAAACCCATTGAATGTACAGAACCAAGAGCAATTACCTTACCTAATGTAAGCTGTAGACTTTGAGTGATAACAATGTGTCTAATTTCAGGAAGCAGACTATTAAATAGCTTTAAGTTCTGTTAAATAGCTTTAAAATTTTTCCCCTTTAGAATAAGTTTCCTGTCAGTTAATATGTTCATGAGATAGGAATGTTGGCCTTTTTTTTTTTTTTTTTTTTTGGTAGCCTTTGGTGATTTTCCCAGAGCAGAGATCATCAAACTACAGCCCACAGGCCAATTTATCTTCTGCCTATCTTTGTAAATAAAGCTTTATTGGAACACAGCTGTGTTCATTCATTATATATTATCTGTGACTCTTTTTGTGCTGTAAGTACAGAATTAAATAGTTGTGATAGGGACTGTATAGACCACAAAATCTTTCTAGCCTTTCAGAGAAAAACTGTCACCTTCTGACCTAGATGAACAGTATTTTGAACAATCCTGAAGCTTGATAAAAGCCTTCTATTAATGATGTTGTTGCCTTCTTTAAGATTTGGAACTTGTGAATCACTAAAATTTTGTTCTTTGAAGTATAGCAAATTGACAGAGTTGCTTAGCAAACAGGGAATATGGTGTACGTTTTTGTACTACTTTAAGTATATAAAGCAGCTAATGTATGTGTGGGATTTTTTAAATGATCATTTTCCTTTGTTTTTCTTTTTTTAAACAAATTCTAAAGTACAGTGCATTTTTATGGAGGTTGATGTTAAGAACACAAAGATACTTCTCCTTTAGCAGTTAAATTCCATGACTGGATTTTCTTTCTTTCTTTTTTTTTTTAATGCTTGTATACCCAAGACTTCATAAACCTCAGATCATTATATATCGGTATGCTAAAAATATATGGTTTGTATTCCTGGAACCTCTAAAGCAGTGGTACAAGAGTTTTTACTACAGAAGGAACTTGTCTTTAAAAGCTTTTAGTTGCAAATATTTAGAAGCATGTTCTGTTTGGAGATTTGTTAGTCTTAAGAGATTTGACTTAACAAGCTGCATCCTGTCAGTAAAGTTGGGTAATTTCCATTGTTGGCCCATTCTGGGAATGGAGAGACAAAACACACCTGCTCTGCATGACTTAAAGCAAATATAAGGAAGTTAGCATGAAATCTGGATGAGAAAGATATGATTCATTCTGTAAGAATGGCCAGCTGGCAAGATTTCTTCCTGAGTTTGAGAACTGGAGCAAAGCTGTAGCTCTGATAGCAACTTAATATGAAGTCAAGTGACTTCTTATCAATAATTAGGAACCCATTTTCATTGCTTTGGAAAAGCATAGGCATACTAAGGCCTGGCCAAAAGTAATTCCTTTTTATGTCAGCACCTTGGGCCCATTTCCTATCTTCTATTGTCCTCTTCCCACTTGTTTTCTCACTTGTCACTTGTTGTTTCTTTAGATAGTGAGCCAGGGTCTGTAGTAGGGGTGATTTCCATTTCTGCATATTACAGAGCAATTAGCATGTTGTTAGTATTCAGCAAAGACTCTTGCTATGCTTGCTTGGCCGGTATTTTGGTTATCTGATAGTAATTGGAGAAAACTGTTTCCCAATTAAAGGAGAATGTCGTGTTTGCTAAGAGGTACCTGCTTTAGCCATCACAGCAGAACTGTGATCAGTGCATCAGAATAGCACTTGCTTTTCCACATCTTCATCCATGATCCTGAGCCAATTTCTACAACCCAGTTTCAGTTTTTGAGAGCCTGAGGCCCTAACCCTGGGTGATAAAACCTTTTCTTTCTTACAGACGTGCAGGCAGTTGCTTATGAAGAACCAAAACACTGGTGCTCTATTGTCTACTATGAGCTCAACAATCGTGTGGGTGAAGCGTTCCATGCCTCCTCCACCAGTGTGTTGGTGGATGGTTTCACTGATCCTTCCAACAATAAGAACCGTTTCTGCCTTGGGCTGCTCTCCAACGTTAACCGGAATTCCACTATTGAAAACACGAGGCGGCACATTGGAAAAGGTGAATTTTCACTTTAACTTCTTTCAAATTTGTGTTTTCTTCTTCCCCGAGAGCTGGTCATTCCTGTAGCAAACTAGTACAGCAAAGCCAGGAAACGTTGACTTGCTGTAGTTGGTAAATATTTTTCCAATTTCTACCATTTGGAATCTCTTCCTGTCAGGGATTTTTGTGGTCCGTCGACTCTCAGAATACTGATATTAATTAGTTGAAATTATGACTTGCTATTTTGGGACATTTGTTTTTGCTACAAAATAAGATGGCTATTAAAAAATGAATTACAATCTAAAATTAAAAACACATTAAAACTAATTTAATTGTATTTCAGATGACTCTCATAGCTCAGTGAAAAGAAAAGAACAAACTGATGACTTCTGCACATAGTATTGGACTGTGTGTCTTCGGTCTAGGCCAGGCGGGGTAGGCTCAGAGAAGGATTTCAGACAAATCCTGAGCTCTTTTTAGTAGGCTTGATTATTTGATCATGATATGAGTGAAACAGTTCTGAAACTTTCCGATGTATAATATTAAGTAAGTGACTAAACACGTAGCTTTTGTCAGGACCCTGGATTTCTTCTGTGGAATAAGGGACATACAGATGTGGAGGAAGGCAAAACCTCAACCCCGTAGAGGTGTATGGAGGTTGGTAGATACCATAATCCTCCAGACGCCGTACCCTGAGGAGGCCGTGACATCACCTCTGCAGAATTCGAGCTGAGAACGCAAAGCTGACTCTAATCCTGAGGAAACATCAAACTCAGTGAGGAAGGTCTCATCAAAAAGGTTGAAGAGGAACTTTATTCCTCTAAAATGTCAGTGTCAACAGACAAAGAAGGGTGTGGGAATGTTCCAGATTGTACCAAACAGGGAAGAAAAAAACACTATAAAAGACATACTGAGGCCAGCAAGCAAAAGTGGAATATGAATTGTAGATTGGATCAATGTTAAATTTACTGGCATTCTAGACTCCAGAATGCTTACATATTTAGAGAAATGGTTCAGGGATAAATTATATATATAAAGGTACCTATGTCTATCTACTTTCTATCAAAAACAGTCCTGCATTAGGATACATACATATGTACACACACGAATATATATATATATATATATATATATATGTGTGTGTGGTGTGTGGGGAGGGACCCCAAAGGGGGTGAGGGCAAGGATGAGAAAGTAAATGGGGTAAATTGTCACAATAAATGAATCTGGATAATGGTAAGTGGGTGTTCCTTGTTCTGTGTTTCCTTGTTCTATTTCAAACTTTTGTAGAAATTGGAATTTATTCCCAGAATAAAAATAAAAAATTACCTGTGAAATTTAGAACAGTTGACCAAATGAAAGTAATTTAATCGGTGCCAAAAGGGCATTCAACATGAAGTTGAATATTGAATTCTTTAAACCAGGAATTGGTATTTTTTAATATGATTAAAGAAAAAAAAA